TAGCCTCCAAATACACTCCCAGGAAGGCTGTCCCAGAGAGAAACATACAGAAAGGTCCACAGACCAAATTAAGATGCACATGTCACATGGCTTATTGAGTCAATTTGAAACATAAAGTAAGAAAGAGAAATAGATGGAGTAGGTTAATATACTATGATAGGTTGCAAACAGGCAGGAAGGACCATGCTACCCAGATCCTGAGGTACACAGGTATACAGTGTTAACATGTTTTGTTTCTCTATCTCTCTCCCTCCCCAGCACCCTTCTTTGCTGATGGTGTGGTTAAAGGTCCAAAGTTAAGGGTGAGCAATGATGGAGGGGACTAGGTCACTGGAGCTAAATACATTTGCTCTATTAGAGAGGCACAGGACAGATACTTTCTTTCATAGCTGAGGCTTGATACTTACCTGCTGAGCAGCTATGGATTTTCTCTGTCTTGGCCAGAGAACAGGCACGCCAGATTGGATGTGACCAAAGGCAGCATATTTAAAACCTCATAGATATGGGTGCCTCATGAATATGGGGTTCCCTGAGAGCTGCATGATACTTTGATGCTTACATAGTCTTTCTGTCCCTTAAGAAGAAGAAATCTCTCTGGTTACTTATTTCCAAACTTAATATCATCAATTCTCCTTGTTTCTTTTACTCATTTTTGGCACAAAAGTTTAGACCCACAGTTGGCCGCAAGTGGTTTCCAGAACTAGAAGGAAACTCATTCTCATCACTTAGGAAAATGCTTTCAGGTTCCATACATCCAAATCTTAGAGTTATAAGCAGTCATAGTGAAAACATTTTCACCCATAAAACTTGACTAATCAGACTAGATAATTTCTAACATCTTTTACATACTTTTCAACTTTTTAGCAGAATTGGGTATTTGTAAGTAAAACAGCAAACATATATCACTGTTTTCCTGTAACACTTTATCTCAGCTTTAGTCTTGAAGGATGAAGAGGGATGAACCAGATGAGAAGTAGAAAGGGTGGGAGGAAAGAAAGACACTGGGAGTGGCATGGGCAAAGCACGGAGGCATGAGCATGCAGGGCCTTTTCAGGGACCTGTAAGGGGTTTTGTATGGTTGGAGGTGGAATGGGTGTGGAAGCAGCAAGAAATGATACAAAATTGAGATCACAGCAACTTTATGTGCCATGCTAAGAAATTAGGGTTTTATTCTAAATGCAATTGGGAAAACTGAAGAATGGCAAGCAGGGAAAGAACATGATCAGATGTATATTTTAGAAATATCTGCCTGTAGACACACAGTGCATGGGATGGATTAGACAGTCATGTGATTAAATTTAGGAAGTTCTTGCATCAACCTACAAGGTACCTAAGGTAGGTACGTTATTTTACTTAAGAGAACTTAACACCATTGTAGTAGCTTTGGGATGTGCACAGGATAATATAATGTTGAGGAAAAAATGACTGGATTTAGGGAGATTTGGAGGCATCAGTTTCCTCATCTGTAAAATGAAGTAATTGGATAGGTAATTTGAAAAAGTTGAAAAGTATGTAAAAGATGTTAGAAATTATCTAGTCTGATTAGTCAGTTTTATGGATGAAAATGTTTTTGCTATGACTGCTTATAACTCTAAGATTTGGCAATATCTGGAGCCTGAAAGCATTTTCCTAAGTGATGAGAATGAGTTTCCTTCTCTTTCTGGAAACCACTTGCGGCCAACTGTGGGTCTAAACTTTTGTGCCAAAAATGAGTAAAATAGGCAGTGAAATGGTTTGTAGTGGGGGCAGAAGGAGCTCCCTCCAAAAACCACCTTCTGCTTCCCATAGTCATGCTTTAAATCTGTCACTGGTCACTCATTAATTTGAGGCCTGGCATTGTCCTCTCCAGGCTCTTCTTTTAGATGGCAAGGTCTCCAAAGTGAGGTAACACATTAGGTCACTAACACCTTCGAGTCAATTAGATTATATGATGTTTTCTCAAGAAAGGAGGGGCTCAGGCTAGCAGAAGGACACTGGGACATACTGGAGAGGACAGACTGAAAGGCAAGGAAAATTGTGAAGAAAGGAAAGCTGTGGTACTAGGGCTTTTGTGAATTTTCCAGGTGTGGGCTTTGGTCTGATATCATGGGCTTGTCTGAGCTTTCCATGCCTGCTATTCAGTGTGGCTGAAGCTATCCAGTTCTGTAGTTTGGATTTAATTCTAGATAGAGTACAATGAGAGAGCAAGGAAACCAGACCCCAAAGGCCTTGACTCATCATCTCTTTTGCCAAGGTCGTAGAACCTTGAAATGTGTCTATCAAAGGTCTTAGAGCCTTAAACTCTTCTATTTCACTATCAGATATGTGTTAAGAACAAACAATAGACCATGATCTCTTTGTTAACTATATATAATGGGCCTGTTTAGCTGTAGTTATGTTCAAGGGCACAACTATTTCCAGGGAAAACGAAGTGTATATAATGACTGAGAAAACAAAAACAGCCACCGAGGCTCATAAGCAACATTAATGGCAATTTTAATTTCACAGACCGGTATTTGGACTGAGGAGAAACAATTGTTTGAAAATATGCTAAAGAGAAAGCGAAACACGTTAATTCTGGAGCACATCAACAGACTTAGAATACCTGAAGAGCAGACACTGCCAAAGAATTGTATTTCATTTCTTTTTTAACTGGGTCATTCTCCAAAACAGACTATAGTCTGATATAGTTATTAGAAAAAATAAACTGTACTTCTAGATTTATGTAACATTTATTCACTATTGTTTTTATTATATTGGTTCTTATTTGAAAGTTGTGCACCCAGGTATTTTACAGAAATTCATTAAAATATTTTATCATACCTTGTTTAACACATTTAAAATGGGATAGAGAGAATTTCATGGGAAACTTTGGTAAGACAGAATGACTAGTGGATTTTATATGTGAATACGTCAACAACAGAAGCTGCAATCACAAGGATGCTTTAGCTTTAGTCATTTCCAAGAGATAATAGGTATGGCAGAGGATCATCTTAATGGAGTAATTCCATAGAATGAAAGCAGAATAAAAATAGGAATCTAGGTAATTTCCCTAGATTAAATTCATTGACCATTTTACTTTGATTTACTATAAAATTCTTAAAACATTACACTTGCAGAACTGGATGAATGGCTTATAAAAAAAATCACTTCAATGAAATCATAGACTACTAGGGCTAGAAGAAGGTTTAGAAGTCCAGAGCACTTCCTCCTTTGTTGGCAAGGCCAAGTGGCCACACAGAACAGTGTAGTGGATGACAGCCCAGATTCTGGAGCCAGTCAGCCTAGGCTCAAATATGGCTCAACTTCTCACTACCTGTATACCCTAGATGTGTTATTTACCCTTCCATGGTTCCTGTGAAAGGGAGATGCACATCATTACCTTGTCGTGATGGTGAAATAAAGTCATAAGTGCTAACCTTTTAAAATGGTGCTTGGCACTTGATACATGTTTGATATTATTATTTAAAATTAGGACTAAGTTATGCAGTACCCTGTAGATTGAGATGAGGCATTTAAACTCAATTCTAAGTGCAAAAGGAATGGTTTAAAGGGTAAATGAAGAAATGAACTCATGATCCAGATCTGTCTGAAGAGCACCTGTTCTTATACCTTTGTCTTACTCCCTGAAGACCCAAAGTTCAGGGTGAGGACACTAATTGGAGGAGGTTCAAGTATTATTTATATCCTAGCTGCCAAGAAATGGTAAGAGGAGACATATGGCCTCTTCAGTTTCTGTACTGGGTGGTGTCTTGTCTGAGCTAAAGACTCTCATATTCAGCTATCCACTTGGTACTACAATGTGGGTTTCTCACAGACATTTTGGACTTACTGTCACTCTCAAATAACTTGTTCCTTCCACCTGTGCAAATCAGTAAATTATTTATCTAATTGTTTAGTTTGAAAACCTAGGAATCATCATTCATCCCTCTGTTTTCCTCAGCCTACCCTCTCCTCCATCCAAGTGATCACAAGGAGCACAGTCTCCCAGCAACACTGACAGAGTGGGTATTCAGGCAATAGCAGGAAGTAGGTTTGGATGTGGTGGTGCATTCAGAACTTCAACAGAGATGGCATCTCCAGAGTCCATACCATTGAGACTCTCTGTAGGACAATTTGGTGTTGAGTGGTTCATATTGGAGTCTGTTTCACTTGTGTTAGTATTTTCTTCCCAAGTAGCCTAA